ATCTTATCTTATCTTATATATATACGCACACTTCTGTGTCAGGTTTGCATCATTCCATCTAAATGACACACATTTAAGTCTCTTATAGGAGTGCATTTTCATACATTCAACTTATTCTTGTCACAAAATACATAGTTTTTGTAATAATGTTTGATATATTTTTGCCTTCTGAGTAACTTCACAAATTTAAACCTTAACTACGCTGTTAAGGTCACCGAAATCTTATTAATTATAACAAAAATAACACTAAAATGGTTCAGCAGTTACAATCTGGATACTGACTACAAATATCAGACAAATTAGTAAGTGAAAATGAGAATATTCTCTATATCTCCAACAATGTGTTGAATTGCACAAATTTCAACAACTTGTGGATTTATGTGGTTAAATGAACTTTATAACATTTAAATCTATCACTTCACTATATTGAAAACTTAAAGCTCTAAGCTATTTTTTGAGCCAGTTAATATGTTGACAATATGAAAATAAAACATACATTTTTCAATTTCAATACTCAAGACAAAGACAAAACCTTTTTTCCAATAAATTCATTTATTATGTCATGGGACAACATTTACAAACCTTACTGTGCAAGTACAGCTGTTGCTGCGTTTTGATGACAGCATGCCCTGAAAACATGGCAAAACATCTTCTTTCTCACTATTATTAAAGACAAAAACAAAATTCATCTTCCTCTCGTGCTGCAGTTGAAGGCATCAAAGAGCATTTTCAAAAATTTCATCGACACATTGGGCTTATTAATAAATTTGGAGCTTGCGCAAGTGAAATAAAAGCTGATGCAAGCTGACAAAATACTTAATGATCAAAACATATGTATTAAGCTCATGAAATCAGGTATATCCATTCACGTCATAGCTCATAGAAAATGTACAATTATTCACATGGTATTTGTTGATTAATTAAATGAGTATGGCCCTCTGTGAAGGGGAAAAACTATCCTATTTACAAATATAACAAATGACAGATTCAAGGGATATTTGCCATAAAATATTCAATTATTATACAAACTGATTCTCAGTCACAGCATTCTAACAAGAGTAGAACAAAAGCACTTGTGGCATAAATTAACAATCATCAATTTCCAACTTCATATCATCTGATCTCAATGCTTAATTTGTTCTAATATGTTTCATCCAGGCTATTTACATGCATGTATGTATGCAACGCTGTTTTTTATTGCTATAACCTGTAATATGTTTTTTAAAAAAAACACTAAAAATATCTCCCATAACTTGACACATTTAACAAGAAGTGAGAGTAGGTAAAACATGGAGATTCAAGTGAGATAAACTTGTGAAAAACGTTCAGTGTCGCATGAAAACAAAATAACCCACATAGTATTATAATCTACATTCAACAGAAAGCAGATAGATTTTTGTGAAAAGCTTGAGGACAGTTGCTCGGGGTGTTAATGGGTCAGTGGTTTTCAAAAACCCAACATCAGCAAAAACAATCAATAAGTGAGGAAATACAATCAGTGAATATACATTCAATGGCAGTGACTAGAGAAACCTACCCACTGAGAACTAAATGAAGTCTATTTCATATAATAAGGCTCTACTGATCTTCATCATTCCTTAAAAACAACAATAACCAGAACAGTTAATGAACTGAATGGAAAAACAAAACCCTGAAAGGAATGACAGAACAATGTAAGCACTAGCTTAAAATCAAGTTAAATCTGACACAATAATCTCAACATAAGGGCCTACTTTGTCCAAAAAAACCAAAACAATTAACATTTATGGACTGGACTCTAACAGGCAGAACAGGTTTTAAACCTAAATCAGATAATTATGGTTATAAAGAAGGTCATCTCCCTTAATGAATCCATAGTGGCTTGCATATTAAGGCTGCATGTAACATCGCAAGACGATTTGTCAGACTGTCATCCCAGTGTTTCATTTAAACAATATATAAATTCACACATACATTTCATTTTATCTAATATATACTTGAAAAGCTATTATTTTTGTAACAGCATACATGGGATTCTAAGTAACATATCTTACGCTGACAGCATTTTTTTTTCTGTGATCTTCCTCGCCTGGAATCATCTGGAAACTTTAATTTCCATCTTGTACTTAGTTTCTATGAGGGTCAATCTGTGAAATATCTCAAGTGGTCCTTTTACAATCTGCAACTTCTCTTCTCTGTCCGTCTCCCCACACCAGTCCAGTCTTCACCAACAGGGAGAAAAAGGGACTGAACACAAAAGCAGAGCCTTTCTCGTTTCCAGCCGCACTGTCATTTCGCAACGCACCACTTTGTTTTCTTCACATTTATTCATTTGTGATAACTCGTTACTGGATGTCTTCCACATAGTTAGCAGGATAGAGGCCTGTTTGTCCGTCCTTGAGCCGGCCTTTGCACCAACCCTGATCATCTTCTTCACCAATTTTGGTGAATTCATCCCCTGGAGAAAGAAGATAGAAGCGATTGTTATTTATCTTGCCGAAAAACCTACTGGGAACTGAAAGTATTATAACGTTTTGGGGTCTTTTACACTGTTCGCACTATGTACCTGCTTTGAAGCTCAGCTCATCCTGCTCCTGTCCTTCATAGTCATAGAGGGCTTTGACAGGCACAGACACGACCGGAGAGGCCGGCTCATCTTCAAATGGATTCCCATCACCGTTGGCGGAGAAAGGGTTTCCACCTGTGTCTTCATCCGACCAGTCTGGAGTCTTCTCCACACTGCTCGCACTGGACGGACAGACAAAAGAGCCTCTTAGAAAATGTATTTTAATGAGTTTATGTCGGGGGGCCTTTTGCATCGACAGGATGAAGCAGGGACAAAAGTTGAAGAAAAGTGAGAAGAAATAAAAATGTAACACCAAATAAAGTAAAGGCAAAACACACATAAAAAAAAAAGCCCAAAGTGCATCTTATAATCCAGGGACAGCTTTGTGATTCGTCCTAAAAAGAAAACATCCTCCTCTCAGCTCTAAATAAGAGGAAAACATGCTTACTCATGGCATCAGTGCTACAAAGCAAGCATTCGGTTCAGGCAGCATGACAAGCGATTTAAAAGTTGCCCTGATGACACTGGGAGATCAAGTGAGAGTGCACACAATGCTGAAAGAAGGTAATGCAACAGAACTATGTGGCCACATATCAAAAAGGCACATGAAAAAATAAATACAGCAACACAAGACCAAGCAAGACAAATCATTGCAGTGAATGCATGATTGGATTTTAACCTGAACGGCCAACAGAGGGAGCCACCTAAACACCAGAGAGAACTTGGCTCTGACGAGAGTTAGAAGATGAAAACAGTAAACACACACCGGCACATATATATAAAGGATTTACAGTCAGATCTATTCACAGTGTCTTTTATTACAAATAAACTGTTGATATTGCTTTTTTTTTGTATGTGCACTCTTTTTGATGTTATAAAGCCTGTTAATTGTCTGGCATTGATATAAACAAATGACATACATATGTATAACTGTGTAACTTTTCAGATCTGACTGTAAGACAGAAAAATACTGGATTTCCCACAGAAGAGACATGCGCCCCATGCGCATGACATTTAATGTTCTGCAAGACACGACACTGTTAGGAGTGGAAGACAGACACACACATTGGCTCTGTGTGCAATGCCGTTTCAGGGACCATGCAGAGCAACACAACAACCTGCCACCTGAGGGAGGAGAGAGGGTTACAAGGAAGAAGGGAGCAAAGTAACTAAGACAAAGAAATGGTAGGAGACGCGGCACGGACGGCGATCCATTAAACAAAGATAGAAAGAAAGAAGGCGGGGAGGTTGTGGGTGGGCGGAGGGTTTTCTCCTGTTCACCAACGTTTTTATTTCCTCTTTATTCACACTGATGTGGTTGACTGAGGTCTGCTGCTCCACGGCCATCTCCTCCTCCTCTTCCTCGTCGTCGTCTTCAAAAGGGTTTGTGCCCACTGGCGCTGTTTGAGTGGGCACAGTAAGGCTGACAACATGGGACACAGTGAGAGATGGGTTGTTGACATGCATACACACACAAACAAAAAGACACACCTGTCACATACTTGTCCTGCAGACAAATTCAAAGAGTGATGAAGCCAGGCAAAGCTGATACTGATAGTTAACATCTGTCTTTAACAGATACAGATATAGTGTGACACAGCCGATAACCATACGTGACCATCTGCTTAACCCCAAACAGCGATTGTCCAATCATAGCTTAGCAACAGTAACTAGGCACGGCAGACCTGTCAAGGGACTGTTCCAAGACCAATATGCGGTTTTCTAAGACGTTTCTAAGAACATTTCTAAGAACTTTTTTAGGCCTTTCGATAACCAAAAACAGAGTAAGGAATCATTTAAACGTGTTTATCTGCTTAAATCTGCACTTCAAATGTTAGCATACCCAGTTTTACTACGTAAAGTAGTACGTTACTTACGTTTCAAGGCCAAGGAACAGTCTTATTAGCTAAAATAGATAAGTTAACTATATTTTTACTTAAAAAAAACACAGATTTATCATCATCATCCCAAAAGCATGATTACAAACATAAAATATACATCTAATAAACCATTGTTTGTTCATTTATGTGTATTATGTTAGAATTAATACATTTTCCCTCATTATTATAACCATAAAACCACCTCCTGTAGCTCTACACTCAAATACAAACCCCATGCTGGCTGTTTATTTAAATAAAACTATTCAATTGATGAGGATGCTATTGTTTTTTGCTGGGACATATGCAGCTTTAGCCCCAGTTTATTAGAATTATACCATGTATGTAGCCATCAAGTGAATATTTAAAACCCTCTTCTAGGGTTCTCATTTTATAACAAAGCACCTGGAAACATTAAAGAGTTTCCAACCAACTCATGGAGCTTAATTAGCTAGCTATTTAGCAAAAATATGATTAAATATGTCAATGAAAGTTATTTCATTTAATTTCAGCCTGCAAAAGTGAAGTACAATAGAAAGCTTTTCACAAGTAGCAAGTGTAACTAAGGGGACAAGGGCTTAGGGAATGGTTAATTGTGGCTTTCTTTCAAGAGGTAGATGACCCAGGAATTGTTGTATTTCTATGTAATAATATGTATGAGAAACACCAACAAGGCAGTCAGAAAAATAACTGTGTTTTAGACTAAATTCTAGACTTCTTGAGCGATACTTCAAACACTTGTTTGTTTGCTCTGGGTTGTGTAGATGCAAAATCTTTCTTTAGAAGTCACATGAGAGCGGTTTACTTCCTACGATTGTCGCTTTCCGCATCGAGGAACAAAACTTGTACTAGCCTTCCACCTGTATCAGAGGAAACACAGGGTTTCTACTCCCTGTTTACAGAATTATTAGACCGTGAACAACAGTAGCTATCAGTTGGCCCTTAAGAGTGTGAAGCGGAGAAATGTGAACGCCTTTGTGTGCATAGTCATGCCATGCTCTGCAATGAGTTGAGCCTCAGGAGTTATTACAACAAACACTGCTCTACTGGGAATTTGGCACAATGTAACTTTGGATGGTTTCAGTCAACAAACAAACCTGCACTTATAACTATGAACTAAAGGATTCAAACAGCTGTGTTAATGTCTTATCCAGTGGGTCTTAAAACCGTGTTCATTCAAGCTTCAGACCACAGATAAGGGAAAAAAATCAAAACGGGTTATGTTACGTTGATACGAATAAGGGCTGGCTTTCAGATGCTGATAAAATACTACTGTAACTACGATCAAGATAAGTAACAACCTTCATGGTGAAGTCTGTTTTTGTCCCTTAGTGCTCTACTCTTAGTGTGACTACAGAAAGATAATACAAATTGGTTCTGATTTACCCTAACCAGAGCCTGGCTTGTACATACACAAAAGCCCAGAGATGTAGGAAACGACAGGAAAACAATGTGCTGTTAATGCTGGTTGGGGGAGAGGCAGTCCCAAGGCACACAACTTTCCCAAGTTCAGAGGTCAAATGCTTTCCGTGCCTGACATTCCCTTTGTCGACTCCTCTACATACTCCTCTGATCATTTCTGCATACACAGTTCCTACTGGTGTCTGGATAAGGGGAGACAGCAGGTGTAATAAAGGAACCCCCATTACCAAGCTGCAAAGGAATGTAAAGAGTAAAAGGCCAAGTCATTTTATCAGACTAGCCAGACACAGGACAAGATAATCACAGCTAACCTCACTTAAAATACTGAACAATAAATATAACACACATAGCAACTTCGGCAACGAGCTCAACGATGCATGGGCTGAGAAAAATGTTTACAGTAAGTTTACACATCTTTATAAAAGTATATCTGCCTGTGTGGTGTCCTTTTTCACCGTGACGATAGATGCATCATGCATCACAAGTTTTTTTTATTTTAATCAGCTGTTTGTTGTCGTTTCCATGAATCACTGTTATTGTCCTTGGTGCTGTTGCCACAACACCGAAGACACATTTCACTGAAGGGAGTTCGTATCTTATCTTGGCTTAAAAAAAGATTACATCATGTCACTAAAAACTGCCATTCACAAGTGGCTAAACCTGGACAGAGTGGTCTAATTCCATTATACAGCATTAGACCATCAGAGGGTTAAATCAATTATTATAAACCAAGCTCAGACAAGTCAGTGAATTATATGCATCTCCTCATAAAAACATGTTTTTTAGCTGAAGTTCCTCTTAATATTTCTTTTTGTTCAGTACAAAACTTGCTGAACCCAGGCACAGGTGTTTGACTTGAAGACTAATTCAGACTTCTTTGAACTTTCCAGTACTAATATTCATGCTATGAAGGTCTCGGCATGTGTGAGTAATATTTCCACATTAGTTTTTGGCTCGTTTTCAACTATGTACCAGCCGACTCCAGTCTCGCGGGGATGAATTCTTTCCCAACAATCTGTAACACAATGTTTTACAGTCACCATAGAAACAGCCATACCACTAGACGTCACTCCCGGAACTTCCCGTGTGTAACGTTTTACAAGCGTTCCTTAAGAGGATGACACCGTGAGCGGTGTGCTGGATTATCTCTGGTGTGGGTGAGTTTGGATGAGGAAGACAGAGTGTGTTTGTGTGCTTCTGAACAGATGCTCAGCTGTGTGTGTGTTTGTCAGAGACAGAAAAAGTGAGTCAGTGAGTGATCAGGTATCTACCTGCTGCTGGTCTTGGCAGGCTGAACAGGCTGGTCTGACCCAGTTTGACTGATGCCTGTCAAAGTGACGCCCTCTGATGGCTTCTTCTTTTCTCGTCTGCTGAGGGTTCGGTTCAGGTCTATGGACCAGTCCTGGTTGACACACACAGACACACGTTAGAGTCAAGTATTGCATCTAAAACTGGTCGGCTGAGCTTGAGCTTGGTTCAAAACATGCATTCACAGATAGTATTGTGAGAACAGGTCACAGTCATGAGCACAGCAATATACACACTTCACACATGACAGTCCAAAATATGTCGAGCATTTCTTAGGCTGGGACACTGACTCTGGATTTTAAAACTGTGTGTGTGTTAATAGTGTACAGTGTAGGCCTGATAAAATGAGAGACAAGACTGTGTACATCCATCACCTGTTGGAAAGAAATACAGCACCAAGAGTCTCCCCTCCACCAGAGGCTAACCAGGGAGAGTAAAGCAAAAGAAACAGGGTCCAATACCATAACAACTTAACAATCAGTTATAGAAAAGATATACAGATATAGTTGGATGTTGCTTAAAAGCTTTGGAAATTTCCAGTATTCATCACAGCATGACAGCATATTAATCTAGTGTTGGAGCAAACGTTCTGACATTAATCAACCTAATACAGACAGCAGTCATACTGTCCCATATACGGTATTTAAGTATGCCCTCAGAACTTTCCAAAAAGCTTGTCTGACCCCTCTGATTTGTCAGGCCTCTCAAACTTTTAAAAGATCAAAGATCTTCCAGTCTGGCTTATGACCTCTGAGACTCACTGCAGGGCCACGGTGGCATCATGTGACATACTGCAGGGTTCACATGGACACAATAATGAGCGGAAGAGCCACTGAGGGGTCAGAGCTCAAAGGTTAGAGAGAAAACAGAGTCTGAGCTGTGTTAGTGGTGGTATGAATCCTGGTATTCATGAAAAAGGTCTGTATGAATCCTGTATTTATCAGAAAGCACATAGTGATGGATTGGTCACACATATGCATGAACTATGGGGGTATGATATACACTATGGTGGGAACAGTGCTGTGGTGACTGCATATACCATGTGCATCTTTAGCCTATTCATATTTTTTGAAACTTGACTAAAAGATACAAACACAAGCACCTCAAACACACACACACACACACACGCATATATAAAGAAGCAGTAAGGAGTGAGAGTGTTATTGGAGAAAAAAGGATCTCCCCCCACTCATGGCTGTTGTGAAAAGAACAGCCCTCCCATGCAGAACTCACTACAATGGACCTTCTCTTAAAGGAGCGAGGATGCGACCAGTCCAAATTCTGCCAGACATGGGGAAAGGGAGGCAGGTGTAGAGCAGGGTTAACGCAGACAACACAGTCCAATCCTCAAACTGTAAAGCTGCAGAAATGTTAGTTTGTGTAGGTAGCAACGACTGGCACCAGCAAATTATTCTAGGGATTGATACTGTAACAAGCTACATGAATCAAAGAGCCAGGAGCTTGCAGAATAACTAAAACACAAGCGTGGTGCATTGTTTTTGACATTTCATTATTTATTCAAGTTTCATTTGGCTATCTACCCTGTTGGAGCTGTCTGACAGGTTATTTGTTGCTCTTTTTTGTCGTGTGTGTGTGTGTGTGTGTGTGTGTGTATCTTGTCGCAGACAAGATTTATTCCTTTCTTAAAAAGTGGTACTCAGAAAGAAAAACAGCCTAGTAAAGATCGAAATGGAAGAACACGCCTCACTGGAACGGCTATGCCTGCAAGAGCACTCAACAGCACTATAAATTAACATTGCAAGCGCATGCAGCTTTTCTTTTCCTTCCCCTCCTCTTTTTCTTTTTCACTTCCTGTTGGGAAGATGACATAAACTACATCCCTCTTTTTTGCCACTCCGACTGCTGAGGACAGATTTACTCCCCCCCTGCTGCCAAACAGCATACTTCAATGACAAAAATGACACTGGGCTATAACTCCTGCTTGGGCTACGTGTAACATTACAAAAAAAAAAAAAAACTATGGCAATGTTGCCCTTAATGTTTTTTCCTGAAACATTTTTCAGTACGCCTTATTAGTCCATTTGTGCTGTCGTCGTGGTTCTCACAGCTGGGCCTGGGAGAGCAGCGGTGAGTCTTTAAGAGGAGATACTAACATCTCAAGATAAGCATGGACTATACTTCATTCATAATTACATCACTAAATACCATAGGACGCCCTTTATTGTTCATGTGTTTAAATTGAGTGAGGGACCGTGACCTATTGTGTGTCTGTTTGTGGATCTGTGGCATGAAAACCTTATGGGAAGCTATTGTGAGCCACTCTGGATATTTCTCCTCTACCCAACATTTGGCTTTCCTTCTCTTTTCTTCTCCTCTTTTATTAGTTGAAATGAAGGGCGTAGTACCTCAAACTGGGGCCAGTTCATTGGCATGCCGGGGCCGTGGTTGGACCGGAACCACTTCAGGTCCTCTTCAGCATCAGTAGCAGTGACTGTGTCTTCCAGCGTGTGGTAGATTGTCTGGAATCTATGGACACAATGTTGGACATTATATTCTGGGTGATACCTGAAATCTCAACCATCTCTACTACCGCTATATGTATGCATTCAGACATTCAATGGCCTGTCTGACCTGTGATTGGTTGAGAGATCCAGGTGCTGTTTAACCTCCAGCAGCAGCTCTGAGAAGAAGCGGATGCGTTTGTCTTCAAACTGTTGCCACTGCTCAAACACCTGCTCCATGTTCTCCATATACTGAGGGGTCAACTTGTCGAGTTCTTCCAGGGATTTCTCATAGCGTTCTTTAGTCTGGGAGAAAGGGAGGAGTGAAGTGACAATTAAAACGCATAAAAAAGAATAATTCTTGACGATGTACCTTTGTATCTAGACAGCTGCTGATGTCCCTTTTAGCAGACTACAGTTCTTACTCAAGTTATCCATTAAATGTTCAAAGTTTTGACTATAATTCCCGTTCCAGCTATGATGGGAAGTAAAGTCAGTTAAATACTTAGAGATATATACTGTGGAAAACACTGTTTGATGGAATTTAATATCATAATTAAGTCTGAGTTCACTTATAATTATAAGGATTTACACCTAGTTAGTGCAACAAAAGATTTAAAGATGGACTACCAGTGCACTTGCAATTTTGACACCCCCACCTATTTCTTTCCTAAAAGGAAGGCCTACCTTCTGCACCTCCTGCTGACACTTCTCCACCTTTTCCTGGAGCTTCTTTTGGGCATCAGGGTTGTTGTTGCTCTCCAGTTTGCTGTTGGTCTCCCTGCTGGCTGCCAGCTTCTCTTCTTTGCAGGCAGAGTGGTAAGACTTCTTCATTGTCTCCATCTGTGGATTCAACGGATGAAATAAAGGCCAAAGTGCCAGTCTTGAGAGTTAAAGTGACTGAGGGATTTAAGCATAAGTTACGATATCTTTTTTTTTGGATTAAGTTGTTGGAAAATGTACCTAAATTGGTCACCATTTAATCCAACAGCAACATTAACATATTTTACTAAGACCATTGTTGTTCTAAACATAGCCATCTGTTCCCAAATTGTACATGCATGTTGCCGTCTCATTGTCATTTTCGAGAAAGTCTTCGAGGAAATTTGATTTCACTTTCTCTCTGTTAGTAAGGCTGTTACTTCTAAGCTCTAAGTTCACTTCTGTGCCTGACTAAATGTGTGTCATTTGTCATTTTTGGAAACGCTACAACCCATTTCCTACTTAGAGAAACTTGCTAATTTGAGGCCCCAGACACATAAATGTTGGAACGAATGAATAATAACAAACTCATGTGAAGGAGGTAACATGGAAACACTGATGCTTGATAAGTTTTACATGTGATGGATTTATGACAACATGAATTAACCACTCCTCTGTCACTTTGTTTATATTTAAACTCCAACAGATAAGTACCGAGCAAGCAAACTGCATGAAGGCTCTATTTGACGAGTGTCTTGGGCAGTGCCCAGTGTACCTTGGGCCAAGGCCAGAACAGCTATATCCCTATTGAACAAACCATGAGGTCATAAGTAGAGGGCACTTAAAATACAAGGACACCAGCTTGTCCTCCTCCCTAATCTGATTTAACAAGCAGTTGAGTGTTCCGCTATTTGTGTATGTACAAAAAACAAAATGTTAATCCACTAAAACACGGGCTTAGGAGTTTATACTGTATCTAGCGAGCATGTATGTGTCTATTATTGACATACTGCCCACGTCACCCATGTCACCCACTAATTTTCTAGACCAGTTAATTAGCCTGATTTCCTCTCTGGACCTCTATCACATGTCCCTGTCCGTCTGGTCAATCAATAAATCACTATGGTTACAAAAATGTATTGTTCTGTCCCTGCTCAATGACAAGGCCAGGATGTCACCACCCACTGGTGACATCACACACACACACACACACACACACACACAGGAAATGGGGGCAAGGAGCCTGGAAGTTGCGAAACCTCCAGTGACTTTGAACATACAAATACTTGCATGTGCGCATTCTTATACGCATGCACAGAAACAGAAAGGAATGTGTGTAGTGCAGAGTAAACAGGCTTCTTAAATGAAAGCAGTAGTAGGAAATACATTGACCTGATTTTGAACTACAGGGTGCCAGTCTCCCTGCAAGCACTCCTTTCCTTCCTTTTTACTGACAGTCAAAGAACTGCAGGATACGCTAACCGGCTGCCGCCTTGGCACACTGTGGCTAATGTTTGGCTTCCTATTCAAGCTAAAGAAGTGGTAATTGTGATTCTGCTCTGCTGTTGTTTCGCAGGCAGGTAGTCATGGAAGGGAAAACAATAGTGAGTCAGTAATATGTAATCATGTGAACTGAAGGGTAAAATTGATAGTTATGGCTATAATGAGTAGCTTGAGAAATGGCTTGCTGCGGTAACTGCTTAGAAATAGAAATTACTTTTAAAAAAAAGGTGCTACCGCTATACTACACATCATGTTATTTCAGTATCCTGTGCGTTCCTAAAAAGTTTGAAATCCACACCTCTTTGAGTTTCTTTGCCCAGGGTTTCTGAGCCTTACGGAAGCCGTCGTCAGCTTCTTTAGTCTCCTTGAAGCCGCCGATCATCTGTTTGTGGTAGGCGTCTCTCTGCCAGTTCTTTAGCTTCTCGTAGTCTTCTCCCATCAGTGCTGCTTTCACCTCCATGTGGAGCTCGCTCACCTTCTCCGCCTCTGTGCACAGAGCCGACCACGCCCGCTCCAATGAACCATACTGAGGGCCTGAGGAAAGAGTCATTTACCAGTCAGTGTCTGTAAAAGACATCAGTTTATAATTTGCATCAATATAATGTTGTGGTTTAAATGCATTGCCCCTAAGAGAGCAGAGAGCACAATCTAAATTATAGATAAAATAATAGCTTTCTGTCAATATTATACAAGTACTCACTGAGGAAATTAAATTTAATAGTTTTAATTTATTTAATGTGTAATGTAGCTTGAGTTTTTTTTATATTCCTACCTTTTTCTATGAGTTGCCGCCAGCGTTTCCCCCATTCTGTGAGCTGCTGTGCGTAGGACTTTTCAATACGTGCCCGCTCATGAAGACAGTTCATGAGATCATTACAGAGTCGGTTGCCATCGTCTACCCGTTTAACTGTTCGCTTGTAGTTACCAACCTGAGGACCAGCGACAGAGACACAGACACAGACAGAGAATACAAATAGACAGTTGAAAATAGGTCAAAAGTGTTAGTTATGGCAAGTGTTGCACTAGATTTCCCTGAAGGCGTTGCCCTCTGAGTTAATTTATTCCAAGATGAGCTAAAGTTGTTATATTCCCAGGATTTATTCTACTTATTCCATCAATTGCAGCTGAGATTTAAATGTTAACTCCACACAGAAGTTTTCAGAAACCACATTTCTCTACGGAAGAATTGTGACCCTGGATTTAGGTTTTTGAGGAAGGAATTCATGCGTCTCACCTCCCAGAAGCTGTCACTGGAGACATCGATCATGGAGTCATCATAGGAGCCCGACATCGCTGCTGCCCTGGGTTACACTCAGTGTGTAGAGCCTAGAAAAACACAGAACAACAACGTTTTAGCCACCATGAATGCCTGATACTAAAATTCTCTAAGGAGAAAATAAAAAGTAAATATCATATCATGAGCGATCAGTTCACCTTTGGTTTAATAGAGAGAAGAGAAGAATTGGCAGATTAAATGATAATGGCAATAACTGTTGCAGCCCATTTTCAATCAATAAGTAAATCATTTTGAATTGAAATTTGGCAAAGTAAGCATCAAGTCATGATTTTTGAGATATTNNNATATTGTTTCCTTTAATTGATTGAATATGTTTTAAATGAGTTAAATTTCATACAAGTTGTACAATGGGGAAATATTACTGTTAAGCCTTTGAATCTCTCAATGGAAAAAAATATAATTTCCATTGCTTTTAAATCCTACAGAATCCATTCCAACATGAATAAATTACAGGGAACACAACTGATCAAAATGTAGATGCATCATAAAAACATATGAATACATACGCAATACGTCTTATATGTGTATTATTCAACTTTATTCAGGCTTCGCCAACAGTACAGACAGCTGAGTTATTAAATATATACGACAAACAGGAAGGGGAACACATATTTTCTATTCAGTGACACATTTGTTTTCACCACGTGTACTATGAAACCAACAGCTGAAGGACAACACCATCGAGCCAACATTCTCCTTCTATCAAAATAACCCTCCACAGAGGCTACAGGTGTGGATCAGACACTGATGAGTGGTTGAATACTGTGCAGTGTGTGGAGTAGGAGAATAAATAGTTCAGAGAAGTGATACGGAGAGACATGGAAGGGGGAGGGGAGGGCTTAAAGTGTGTGATCTGGTTTGTTAACCGGGCAGCAGGTGGTGATTCATTTCTATAACCTCACAACCCTCAACACAGAACAAATTCAAACACGGTGGTTGCAGGCGGCACACAGAGCCTCAGCTAAACTATAAGTGTGTGTGTGTGTGTGTGAATCTGACCGAGAGAAAAAGAAACTGTCAAGAAACACACAGCGGGCCGCTTCCGTTTCCTTCAGACGGGTACGACAGTCAGCCCTCTGTTAGTCCCCCCCCCTCTCCTCTCCTCATGTCCATCATTTTAAACTCAACAGCCCCACAAACAGTCTCTCTTTATTCCTCCCCCCTCCATCGTCTTCCTCTCTGCTCAGTGCTCTCCTCCCTTCCCCATCAGCCTGGAGGGGTCTCCTCTCTCTGCAGCACAGACCGGCCCTGTTCAGATCCAGTATCTTGTAACCATATATATTGACATTGTCCAGCTGAGGCGGACTGCCGGCATCCGAACACGTCTCAAGTGCATCTCAGTTCACCGAGATCACATCGCATTCAATTGCACCTCCAGGAAAACTGCAACCACTTCTAGGAAGGAAGAATGAAACAGTGCTACAGCCAGTCCTTTAAGAGAAGATTTATCAACTAGTAATGGTTATCTGTCATTATATTTCACAATTAACAGACTAAATGGCTGATTCATTACTTGAAGAATGATGAATAAATAGATCATTTAAAATAGACAAGCAGCTCTCGTGCTCGGCCACGCAGAAAGTTGCTGTATGACAAACAAATCAAGTGTTATTTTTAGTCTATGAGAAGTTCAAAGGGCCAATAATCGTTTCAGGATCTCATTTGTCTTCACAGGTTGTTTTTTACATAAACACACAAACAAATATATGTTTGATAAGGTTTCATTAATCTGGTTATTATCGATTTGTCACCAAGGGGGGGGACGCTAGAAATTAATTTCAAAGTTTAGCTGAAACGATCAGTCAAAATATCAGCAACTGCTTTAATGAATGAATGCACTTTTTCCTTTTTTTACGTAATGTTATTCCATGGTCGGTGCGAGCAATGTGGGAGTGTGGGTGTGTGGACGTGAGACTGGGTAGGAGTCATAAATGTGCGGTTTATAAAATGGCCTATAAAAAGCTTTAAATGAAATACTGTATGTGTAAGCAGACCTATATTATGTAGTTTAAATACATTTTTGATCTTTGGCATGTCTGTACAGCAATTTATTGGTGCTTACTGCAAACCCCTCCGCTGATACGATCAAAACTAAAGACACGAAAGTCTCCCTTTCTCAGTTACACTCATTCAAATATCAGTAATATCTGTCAAAACATCCATCTCTCATATGGAGCGACCACTTGTGATCAGAGCACACGAGGTGCATTTTAGTGTGTGAACACACAGGGCCTCTTTCAGTCGGCCGACAGAGCGAGAGGACGAGGGCTGGTGCTTAGTGTGTGTGCGTTGGCCGATGGTCAGTGGCCCGTGCCCTCCGGGGCAGGACTTGTACAGAGGGTAGTATTGTGGTCTCTGCTAGCCGGGGAACAATTCTCCCCTTAAACTGTGTTTGTAGTTTACAATCAGGTCAGTCAAACAGCAGAACACACACAGACACACAACCACAGACACACAAACAGATGTTGACCGTCACCGTTTCCAGAGAAAACCACATGTTTAATATAACTCAACTTCCTCATGAAGGGTAGCCTTGATATTAGAAACAATTGTGTGTGTAGACCATCTTGAATCGAGATTACACTTTGGAACGGGCGAGGATCAAAAGTGGAGCAATCCAAACCAATTTGGTAAAATTGGAAGATTGAGTTGCGGCTACTTGCTTATTAGTTTCAGTCCTTTTTCAAGCACACTTCAAAGTTTCACACAGTTCAAATGTGCTACTTTTCATTGTCATATGACAATTAGGTTTTGCACCGGTGGTTGAATAAAACAAGACATGGTGTCCCCTTCGTCTCTGGGACATTGTGCTGGGAAGTATTCCACAGTTTTCTGACATTTTATGGAGAATTTTAAATGATTCATCAAGAAAAAATAAATATATAGATATGATCAAACTATATGATAATGTTATTACAATATATTCCTACTATATTCTCTTAGCTACTACCTCCCAGACTACTTGTAAGTATTCTGTCAGATTTGAAATCATATTGAATCTGAAAACTCTGGCGACACAAAACAGATACTGTACACGAATAAGACACAAGTTTTCTGCTGCCTAATTTAAAAAAAGACAACCTATCACAGTGATCAGTGGTGATCCAATATGGCCTGATTGAGCAAGAGAGGTGTGTGTGTGTGTGTGTGTGTGTGTGATAATCATACATTATCCAGCCCAGTGTTGTACTCTTGTCTCTTTTGCATTTCCCTACCAGCTGTCCATATTCGTCCTTCGCCAATCACCGATGCAGCACCAGAGAGGAACACACAAGGGACGAATGGAACGAGCCACAAATATCTTCTCTAAACATGGCAACAAGTCTTCTGACATTAAACTCTGCTGAGCGTAAACTTCCACTGACAGCATTACCACAGCAGCACTGAATACCTTTAAACATATGACAATTTTAATAATCTATCCAAGTTCTCAGGGGAATATGGCACCAATTATTACGACTTTTTGTTTTGTAATTAATAACGTGTTGGGTCAATTAAGTGTAATGCAGCCATTAAGATAAGCAAAAGACAGGATTTAAACTAAATCAGGACAATCCATGCGTTCTTATCTCTTAAACTGACCCTATCTTATACTGATGTGCAATATCACCCAACTCTCCATCAAGTAACTGGTTTTGTTTTCTAATCAAGTGATGTATGGGAACGACCTCGCACAGCTAGAAAAATAAGCCAACAGTGTGTATTGGGAATTCCTTCATCACAGCAGCTATTTCCCAGGCCTGATGTAACGAAATGTGATGAAAACAGGAACAACCGTCTACACGCCCATGGCTCTGCGGGACACGAGGGCCGCGTTAAACAATCGAACGCGGCTTGACCCAGAAGTGTAAACAATGCTGTTGACTAAGTGGAGGTCTGAAGTCCGCTCAATCTGTCACTCTGCAGGGGAACACTGGAAAATCCAACACTGTGCGCTGCTGTGCACACATGGGGGGTGAGGAGAACTCGCACAGAACGCTGGAGATTGAGAAATTCCTATCTGGCGTTGTGCGTTTCCGCCTTCTTAATTTGTGATGAATGAAAACATAAAAGTCTTTCTTACCAACGAACGCTCGATTTCATCAAATCTGCAGAAACTTGTCTGCAATGGGGGTTTTCTTAGATTCCAGGCTTAGTGATTATGTAATCAAACACAACAATGATATCCACTAAAGTCTGATAAGTTAAAGTACTGAGCATGCTGGAATTTGGTTTGCGGAAAAACAGCCTTTAGATAGACATGAACAAATGCATTCCTCAACGCTACCATGCCCAAACTGAACCTTGGCACGTTGAGCAAGTTCTCACACTGTCAAGGACTGTCAAAGAGCGAGAGAGGGGGGAGGGGGGGCCGATATTGAGACGGCAAAAGCAGGAGATGATGACCACGTGTGTTATTTAAAGCCCGTGAAAGCTTACTGTACTATGCGGCTGGAAATGAGAAGACCTGAGTCACGTCTAAAGAGCAGACACACGAGATGCCGATGACCTTTCCGAACTGGCGCAGGGGTGGGAAAACTGGATAAGATGAAGAAGATGCAACCAGAGGGAGAGACAGGGTATGCAACATTTGTGGGCCCCTTGTATACAAGAGCATTTTCTTTCCCACAAACCACCAGCAAACTGTCGATTCACCACGTGTTTGTGTTTGTCAGAGTGCTCTGTGGGTTGTCAACAGCGGCATGAATGGAGCGCCAAGCGACCGGATACACAGACTGCAGAGATGAGCACATAGATGAGCGATAGGCACACGCATACCTGCCCTGAAGCTGTTTATGTTGTTGGGTAAGAAAAAATATGATCGGAGCGCCAGGAAACCAACCGGAGTTTGTCAGTTCAGAAACAAACTCTTATCGAAAGAGTATAGCAAGGACATCGGCGGATTAATGTCACACAATCTCAGTGTTTCAGTCTCAGTGTGCCTCGGTCTGTCTGGCCTAACTAATCAGTAACTGCTGGAGAGCAGAACTGTGTGCACAGTGAGTGGAGTTATCCTGAGGGGCCGCTGTGTCATATTTAGTTTCCTGCCTTGTCTGCGTGATTGTCAATGCAAGCAAGAACCGACACTGCCGACGGGGTTTCGTCTGAATGAGAATGCGTGACTTGCTTCTCCAGGGTTTTTAAATACACGGAGGAACACACTAGTGCTCTCTCTTTTCAGCTGCTCCCAACAATTCTTTTACATTACTGATTCATCTGTAGAACATTTACTCAATTCATTGTTTGCGTATAGTATGTCAGCATAAAATGTCTGCAAATAGTGTCAAATTCCCATTCCATTTTACCTCGGTGGTGTCTTCAAATGTCTTGTTTTGTCCAATATTTATAGTTTACAACTATACAAAACAGAGAAAACTAGCAAATCTTCATATTGGAGAAGCTGCAGCGAGAGAATTTTTATTATCACAACATTATCTGTGGATCAACTGATCGATTAATTGACTAATCGTTGTGGCTCCAAAGTGAAGAGCTTTGCTTTAGGAGTTGTAACAGGCATTCTTGAGCAGCAAATAATCATCAAATGAATCCATAATGAAAATAATTGGTATTTGTAGCTCTCCTGACCATTACTTCAAATAAAACACTTAAATCTTGAGAACAAACGCTAATCACGGGGATTAAAGGAAGAGAATATGATTACATAACAAGCAAGCTTAGAAAAATACTTTTAGCGCTCTACTTTACAAAGCCTTGATGTCTTAATCACATTAAAATTGCTTATCTGACCGGGGGTGATTTTTTTTTTTTTTGTCTGTTTCCATTTCCTTCCTTTGTTGCATTAAAACGCCTGCAATATCTCAGAGGCAGGGAGTGCAGCTGAGCTGATCTATCCCTTCAATATTGCGGTTTCACAGCAGGACATTGCTAAATCCCGACTGGGCTACGAGAGAGAAAAAAAATACAATCATTCCTTTGCTTTCTTTCTCTCTTGTTGCACACTTGCACACATGCTTGAAGGTCATAAGTTTCCATGGCAAACGGCGGGTCACGACCTTGATTTTCTTTCCCCGTCAGTCAATCACCTCTGCCCTCCTTCCTCATGTGAGTCCGACAGCTGCACAGGACTGCTGATCTGACGGGAATATAGCATTTCCAATGTGGATTCTGGACATTACTCACTCCCACCTATCCGGTTTTTATAGAGATCACAGACGGAGCTTCATAAGAGGCTCCAAAACAACCGGGACAATGAAACCGTTGGTCCGTAACAGCAGGTCAACTGTAGCCTCCACAGAAGTGACCAGGCCGCCTGCTTGCTCCACGGTCAGGGAGAAACAATGGCATTTGTTCCACACTTTCAGGCATTTTCCACTGGACACGCCAGCAGCACGGAGAGGGACATAATGGAGGGAAATTCAGTATTACATGACAGGGAAGGGGAGATCCTGACGTAACCCACAGGCCTGCACGCACAGTGGCGTCTCATGTGATGCATTTCAAAAGGTGCAGACTTTTCGGGAGAGCGCCACGAACACAATTCATCTGCTCGCAGCAAATTCTTTCACAAAGACAAAGATAATAGGTGATAAGACTAAATGTTTTAGCACTTTTGGCAAATGTCTGATAAGCTTTTCCTCGGATCCTCTGATTCACGCTTCGGCGGGAGGCGTTTATGTTCAGGCTGCATGAGATACACGATTCAGTCCTGTCGAACGGCGGCTTGTATCCCTGGAACTCTCTGAGAATACGCCAAGAAAAGATCCCTGTAAATGGAGAGCGGTGCCTTCAGCCTCAACTGGAATACCCGCTCTAAGTTTAGCCCGGTTCTGTGACAGAGCAATCAGTTCACACACACACACACACACAAAAAGGAACAAGCTGCTTTTTTCGCAGAGCTTTCGCTACTGCTTCGCCCCTTGACAACACTACTCTCATAACAAACCAACAAACCCACACAGCCGTACTGACGATAGTCTAAAACACTGATGACGGATACCTTCCACTGATTCACCACAACTGTCCTGCTCGGAGGGGATCCTTGTTCCCTTCCTCTTGTGATTAATGACCTCGTGTTGACGCGGGTTTAGGCTGGAAATGACCACAATATCACAGCCTGAGAGAACACTTTCTTACATGCAACTTTGGGTTAAATGCACACACACACACACACAGCTTACCAGGACTGGACTTGGCAGCCAGCTGGCACTGCGCAAATTAAAGCACTGAGCATTGGGGGGGGGGGGCAGCCCTGAAACGAAACCAGGCATCCAGCAGGAACTGAGGCACCTCTCCCTCTCCCTCTCTCTCCTTCTCTCTATAGAAACAGGACTACATTATGTAATGTAAGCATACCATGGAGTGATGATACGACATGGACCAGGGTTATCTTTACTTGCTGAAGCCTGCCCCGCCCTTCATCCCTCCAATGCATTCAAACACTAGTCTCCCCCCTCTCTCCCTCTCTCTCTCTCTCATTGTGAAAAACTACACAGCTGGAGTTAAAAACTACACGATTTAACTCGACACAACCCCCCCACCGCCCCATGCAAAAAACATTGATTAACCACAGTAGCATTTCGTAACTTTTAATACCCTGAAGTTACAACTAGTCACAGGGACTGGTGAACTACTTCAACTTCAGGTTTTAGCTATATATATATTATTACACATCAGAGCTCGCTAGTGTAGCTTTCACTTCACTGAATCATCAAGTGTTTTATGCCCACCACAGTAACGTTTCCAACCTCCTCCCATCGGGGAAGTAACTTCACTTCGCCCCTAACTTAGCTCTCATGTTAGCGAAATTAGCCACAGCCCCTTTTTAGTCAAGGAAAAAAAGTTAAAAGACACAACGTGAAAGTGTTGGTTTGAGCTCACCTGGCAAGGGTTTATTCCTCTTGGTCGTTCGTGTGTAATTGACGAGTTAATTCTCTTGCTCGGTGCCAATTTATGAATCTTTTCTCCCCGTTTTTTGCTGCTCAGGAGCGGCGGCACCATCGATTGACTGACTGACACAAGCGTCAGAGAGCCGAAGTAGCACGGCGGCGCTTCCGGTGGGGAGATTTCAAAATAAGAGGAGCAGCAGAG